ATGTTGGGACCGGGGAGATAGCTCAGTAGAATAAGCGCTTGCCTGGCAAGCACAAGGGCCTGAGTTCAATCCCCGGTTCCACCAAAAAAAAAAAAAAAAAGAAATGTCTTTTGCCACTAGTTGTTAGGCCTTTTAAATCTCTATTAATCTGAAACTTCCCATTCTTTTTTTTTTCTGGTGGAACTGGGGATTGAACTCGGACCTTTGCACTTGCCAGGGAAGCACTTATTCCACTGAGCCATCTCCCCGGCCCCCCTCCCATTCTTTTTTGTCTTCAGTAATAAGTGTTTAGGGCCAGAAATACAGCTCAGCAGCATAAGCAATGCCTGGCAAGTTCAAGGTTCTGATTCCCAGTACCAAAAATAGATAGATAGATAGATAGATAGATAGATAGATAGATAGATAGTATTTAATCTTGCTAAATTGTTCTAAGCATTGTTGCCTACCAAGAATGAAAGAAATATATAGTTAAGAATTCAATGGGGCCGGAGAGATGGCTCAGTGGAATAAGTGCTTCCCTGGCAAGCGCAAGGGTCTGAGTTCAATCCCCGGTTCTGCAAAAAAAAAAAAAAGAATTCAAATCCAGGCTGGTCTGAAGGTAGTGAGTTCTCTTAATTGATTGTTACAGAGTGAACTCCTTGTTCTACTCTTTCCCCCTTCTCACTATTCCACTTGACTAGTCTAAAAAAAAAATCCAGTCAGACAGTTGTTCCTGTAATCCCAACTATTTAGGAGGTTGAGGTAGAATTACAAGTTGGAAGGGCTAGGGAGATAGCTCAGTAGAATAAGCACGTACATGGCCAGCACAAGGGCCTGAGTTCAATCCCCGGTTCTGCCCCCCAAGAAAGAATTCCAAGTTGGAGTCTAGTCTTGGCGACAATTTAGCAAGACCATGCCTCAGAATAAAAAAGTGTTGAGATGTTACTTCAGCACTCTCCAACCCGAGTATTGCCGTACAAACACAGAAGAAAGAACTGGGTGTGGTGACTCTTCCTTGTAATCTCAGCCCTAGAGAGGTTGAGGCAGAGGGATCAGTGGGAGTTTGAGACCAATCTGGTTTACAAAGTGAGTTCAAGGCCAGTCTGAACTGCATAGAGAAACCCATGTCTCAAAAAAGGCAAAAACAAAACAAAACAAAAAAAAATCAAATCCAAAAATGCAGTAATGGTGCACACCTGTAATAACATTACTTGGGAGTATGAGGCAAGAGGATAGAGGATAGCAGTGAGTTTGAGGCCAGCCTGGGCTACATAGTGAGTATAAAGCTAGCATGGACTACATAGTGATACCCTGTCTCAAAAAACAAAAAGAGGGCCGGGGAGGTGGCTCAGTAGAATAAGCACTTCCTTGGCAAGTGCAAGGGCCAGAGTTCAATCCTGAGTTCTGCCCAAACAAAAAACAAAAACCAGAAATAAGAGAAAAGAGGTAAATACTCATTTTTATGATTCTTTTAACTCCTGAATTGGCTCCCTTTCTTTCTTTCTTTTTATTTTATTTTATTGGCTCCCTTTCTTAAAGTGTGGTTTGGGGACCACTGCTATTACTATAAAATAATTGTTTTTTGTTTTACAGTGGACAAATCAAACTAGCAGATTTTGGACTTGCTCGGCTCTATAACTCTGAAGAGAGGTAAGGCATTCTTCAAAATTACAAGTAGGAAAGATCGCTTGAGCCTGAATGTGCAGTGTTTGATTGGACAACATGTACCCCTGTTCCAAAAAGCAAAGGAAGGAGGGAAGGGAGGGAGGGAGGGAGAGAGGGAGGGAGGGAAGAAGAAAGAGGAATAGGAAGGAAGGATGGAAGATAGAGTTTAGACATTAAATTCTATGTAAATGCTTGAATTAGCCGTTGCCTTAAATAAGTCAACCCAAATTAGAATACAAGTTGTTTCTTCAGGGGTGGGGTTGGGGCATGGTGGTACATTCCTATAATCCCAGCACTCAAGAGGCTGAGGTAGGAGGATCACCATGAGGTTGAGGCCAGCCTGAACTACGTACACAGCAAGAACCAATCTTTAAAAAATGTTTTTTCATCTCCCATTTCTGTTTCATGTGAAGCTGTTTTATTTTATTTATTTATTTTTTTTTTTTTTGCGGAGCCAGGGATTGAATTCAGGCCCTTGCGCTTAATGGGGAAGCGCTTACTCTACTGAGCCATCTCCCCAGCCCCTGAAGTTGTTTTAATAATCTCATCTTTGTTGGCAGCTGTGTCTATTTGCTTTTTTATCAAAAGCCATTGTAATTTACATGTAATGGTTTTACATTTCAGTCGCCCTTACACGAACAAAGTCATTACTCTGTGGTACCGACCTCCAGAGCTGCTGCTGGGAGAGGAGCGTTATACACCAGCCATAGATGTTTGGAGCTGTGGGTAAGGATCTCTTTACCTTTTTTTCTGTAATTCACATATTATTGATGTATTACCTGTTTTTCCTCTACATGGGCTTTTTACAAAAGTTCTTCAGTTCAAAAGGATAGACATACTTGTTCCATTGAGTAGTTTTTGATATCTGAGGTACACTTTAAAAAAAAAAAAAACTTTTCTCAATTTTTCACTTGTCTTTTTTTGAGAAAGGGCCTTGCTATGTAGTTAAGGCTAGCCTTGAACTCATGGTGATCTTCCTGCCTTAGCCTGTCAAGTGCTGGGATTACAGGCATGTACCACTACACTGACTAATGTGTATTTTATTTTTTAGCTTTGTTTGAATTAGCATACAAGTGATAAATTCAAGTAAAGCCCATAGCGTACAGTGAATTATAAGTCTTTTAATTAAATGTCCCTTTTCCATCTTTTTTTTTTTTTTTCTTCTCACTTTATGTATTTGGTATAGGGTCTCATTATACAGCTTGGACTCCTGTTTTCAGCCTCCCCAGCGCTGGGCTTACAGATGTGCACCACCAAGCCTGGACTCATGGTGGGCTCAGCGTGCCCGGGAGCAGGGCCAGTGGGGCATGTGGTGCTGGGGTTCATCCCTGGTCCCTGCACTTGCCTAAGCAGGCGCTTAGTCTGCTGAGCTATCTTGCCAGCCCTTAAAATTTGTCTTTTTTTAAAATGTTACTAGCTATTGATGATCCTGCCCACATTTTGTAATTCATTTGAAGTTGTTTGTATACCAGCTACGTTGTCATAATGTTCCTTATTGGAATACTATATAAAGACAATATTTATGTGGCTAACTCCAGGTGCAAACTTTATAGAGTTAAAAGTTAACTCTTAGGGGCTGGGGAGATGGCTCAGTAGAATAAGTGCTTGTGGGACCTGAGTGTAATCCCTGGTTCTGCCAAAAAATAAAATAAAAGTTAACTCATTTTATTTACCAGTTGTCAAAATAATGGCATGGTTTCCTACCGTTCTATAAAAATGACCAAATGAAGATTTTTTTGTTTCATTATAAATTCTTGGATTTAAACATAATTGATGTGTTCTAATCCATTGTGCTTATCGTCTTTATTCTTGTTTAAATTATCCAGTCTTTGGCCAGTGGGAGTTTTGTCAGGTTATTTCTCAAATTTTCTTGATACGTCATAGTAGTCTTGGGGCCGGGGAGATGGCTCAGTAGAAGTGCTTGCCTGGCAAGCACAAGGGCCTGAGTTCAATCCCCCGTTCTGCAAACAAAAAAAAAAAAAGAAAGGAAATGAAATGAAACATAGTAGTCTTATGGCAGCCATTCTTGTTTTCTGCTTCCGTGCTTATCCAGTTCATTTTCTCCTCAGACCCGGAATCAATTATTTTCCCCTGAAGTGTTCCTTTTAGTGAAAAAGGATGTTTAGAAACCACATTATGAAGCCAAGCATGATGGTCCAGGCGTGTAATCCTAGCACTCAGGAGGCTGAGGCAGGAGGATCTTTGTGAGTTTGAGGCCAGCCTGGGCTACAATGTGAGCTCAGTGCCAGCCTAAACTGCATAGGGAGACCTTGTCTCAAAAAGACAAAAAAAGAAAAAAAAAAAAGAAAAAAAGAAAGAAAAGAAAAAAGAAACCAGGGGCCAGGGAGATAGCTGAGTAGAATAAGCACTTGGCTGGCAAGAGCAAGGGCTTGAGTTCAATGCCTGGTTCCGGGAAAAAAAAATTTTAAAAAAGAAACCACATTATGTTTGTTAGAGGCATTGCTGTTTTTCCAGAGGCCATGTATATGTTCATTG